TATTTGAATTTGTAATTATTTTTGAACTAATAATCCTCTTAAGGCCAAGTTATAGGATCTCACTTGGGTTTTTTTGCTTTTTTAAAATTAATTTTTTAAGTTAATATACAAACTGATGGATTTCATTATAGTATTTTCATACACATATGTGGTTGTAGTTTGTGATTTACATATTAATTATGTAAATGATATTTCCCAGGATTGTGATTTTTATACCTTTTACAATCAGCAATAATGAGACAGTACTAAGCAAACCAAGCCGTTCCATGTTTTTAATGATATGAAACCATAGATTGAGGCACAAGTAGCTGAATAAAAATGAAATTGGTGAAACGCTAGCATAGTGACATTTGAGAAGGAATTTAATCAAAACCCCTGAATTGAGGGCTCTATGGTTTTATATATACATTCTAAAATGAATACATTCACCTTTCTCATCTCTGGCTATTTAGCTAATTTCACCTCAGAAAAAATAAATGTGGGGCACCTCCAGGGCTCTGATTCAAAACTCTGTCTTCTATGTAAAATTCTCAGAAATTCTCCACTGCAGTCCATGGGCCTCCTCCATTTGCTGCCTGGACTCAAAAGGGCCAAGAGCTGTCATCCTTGACAGGATGCATCTGTCCCGTTCAGTCCTCGGCTGGGTGTCACGGGAAGGGGGAAGCTGCACTCCTCGTGTTCAAAGTGCTATGCACAGCAGAACCAGAGAAGCTTATGTTCCCAGGCAGATGCTCAGCACCTCTTCATCTTGCAATGGCTTCCAGGCCATATAGTTAAAACTGCAAGGAAATGTGTAAGAAACATATTTATTCTTAAAGCACACATGGTCTCCAGCCTTGTTGTCTGAAGGATCTCTTGGTGGTTATGAATACTCCATCCTTATCAGTGTGAACAGGGGACAGATTAATTCTCACCACCCAGACCCTGCTCCCAGGAGACATACTGGGAATTTCCAATTTACAAAAAAAAAAAAAGTTGTTTTCCAGAAGTTTCTTTTCTTGTCATTTATCTTGAGCTTGCCAGGGAACAAAATGATAGGTAGTAACAGTTGTACATCTTTTAACAAATCTCTATTACTGATACTTGGAGAGGAAGAGCCAGCACAGGATTTGGGGAGCCAGCCAGACTCTCACATCAAAACAACAGCGACTGTCAAAATCTAATGGTCCTAGACGCTGTCCCCTGCAAGAAACCATGAAAGTGAAGAAAAGCATTGGGGGGGGGGGAATAGGAGTCCAGTTGTTTGTTTTTGTTTTTATCACATCCAAGGTCAAGGTCCTGTTATGTGGCATGCCTGGTGTAGTGACTGAATCAAAGTGCAGACCCAGAGGCTGAACTGGCTCTAACCTGGAGCACCTTGCCCTGCCTCTTCTCCTGTTTGTAAATGGACCATGGCAGGCACTTCACAGAAACTGGGCGGTTTTATTTCCTGGAGTATTGAACCTTTTTGAGCTGTAGGGTGTGTTAAGAGTGGGGTAATTCTTAGACTTTTTGAATTGGGGGTGTGGTGAGGAGAGAAGAAAAAAGAAGCGGGGGAGAATTTGGTGGATCAGTTGTGTATAACCAAAGATTTGAGCACTGTAACATTGAAAGTGTGGTTGTGACTAAGGCTTTTCAGGAGCTTATAGCCAGCTTTTCTTGCACAAGCAGGATTTCTAAAAGGTGTGTTATAGCTTCATTTTCAGAGAAAAGCCAGCAGTATAAAGAAGTGGGGAAACCAGACAAGCCATTTTTTTCTTTTAAATGACAAACAGCTTGTGAGTAATTGCCAACGAGCATGGGTAGATTTAGCTTTCTGGCATCTTTGACTATCTCTGCCCTCTTATCTCTGTGAAAACCAACTTCCATAAAGTAACCAAATGAAAGTGGAGACAGTGGTTTAAAATCAAACATTTTGTTATCTCAGAATTCTGACATCAAATCCATTTAAGTGATTAAATAAAACTGTTGTTCGAGCGCAAATCAAGTCAGACACTTGAAAATTCATTGTCAGTGTTTTGCTTTACCGTTTCTCGAACATTATGCTCTAAACTCCAGGCTGAAGCACTGAAAATGGGGAAGAACCTGGCGAGGTTCCTCATATATATTCTAGTTTACAATAGGAGGCAAACCACTGTATTCTGAGTGGTGCCTGGTTAGCCCTAAGGCCATGTGGGGCTAACACATTTTGTAGTTCTTCCTTTTCAAATAGATCATTGTGGCAGAGAATCAATGGCAGCAGGGACTTGAGGCAGCTGGTCGCTGTGTGTTCACAGTCAGGAAACAAGGACTATCTAGTTCCTCCTCGAGCAAGGTGAATTTTATGGAGAGAGTCAAAACCAGTGTAGGTGGTTCTAGAGAACCATCCCCTCCTCCTTGGTAGAAGGTCTGTGGTCTCTGGACCAGCCCCAGCACTACTCAGCTATTTGCTGATGCAGGCCACACTTAAATTGCCTTCAGATACATCTGTATTCCTCCCCGCCATCCTGAAGAGTGAGGCTGGCAGTGCAGGCAGCAGGGCCTGTGAAGAAAGCCATCAGGTGCAGCCTCAACCAGAGCATGGGAGCGTACCCCACAGCTAAAGGACTCTGAGGAACTCAAAACAAGAGTGCTGGACAATGGCTTCTGGAGCTGGTGGGTGGTTTTTACAAGTTCTATTCCTAGTCTAGTCCTAAACACATGAAGTGGGAGCACATGTGCCGAGCAAGCTACCCAACCACACAGACATCTGGAATCTCGTGGGAGTGGCCAGTCTCAGCAGCAGCTGGGCTACTTTTAAAACATTCAAATTAAGTTAGGTTGGATCCCACAAAGTCCTTTGTTCTTAAAAATCTCCGATGCTTCATACAGATTAAGAATTGAGAGCCATCCTCTCTTTGTTGCTTTCGTTTCTCCAGAAAAGATTTCTTTGTCTTTCCGGGGATGTAAATGCAGTCTTTCCACTGGATAATTATCAAAGACACAGGAAGGCGGTCAGAACCTGTGATATTCCTCCCTCTAATGACACCTGATAATAAACCTTCGGCTTCCTTGCCTGCACATTCCATTCTTTTTATTGCTTTGAGCTTCTGGAACCTTCATTTTTGAAGATTAATTGTCAGGGGATGAAAATAAGCAAAACAAAACAAAACAAAACCTTTGTCATTTTCTTTAATGTGTGTGGTATGTATGCATGATCGTGTGTGGGGGTGTGTGTGCAAGATGTATGTGTGTATGTATAGGCTAGAGGCTGATGTCTGGTGTCTTCCTTCAATTCTCTCCACCCTAAATGTTGAAGCAAGGTCTTTAGCTGAGCACAGAGCTCACTGTTTCTCCTGGCTACTTTGCTAGCTTGCCTTGTCCCTGCTTTCTTAGTGCTGTGATTACAGGTGTGCCCAACTACAGGTAGAAGCCTCTGTCCCACAAGCTGCTCCTAAATAACCGACATGGAGTCTTAATATTAATTATAAATGCTTGGCCAATAGCTCAGGCTTGTTACTAGCTAACTCTTACATTTAACCTATTATTTCTTTCCTATGCTTTGCCACATGACTCAGTACCTTTTGTCAGTACTGAATGACCATCTTGCTTCTCTCTGCATCTGCTGGCAACTCCCCTGACTCTGCCCTTCTTCCTCCCAGCATTCTCAGTGTGACTCTTCCACCTAACCTCATCCTTCCTGTCCAGCTATTGGCCAGTCTGCTTCCTCATTAAACCAATCACACAATGTAAAGGAAAATTCCACACACAACTTTGATGTGGGTTCTGGGGGGATCTGAACTCTAATGGTCGTGTTTGGTGCAGCAAAAGTGTTTACCCATGAGCCACCTACTCCCCCTTCACCCCATTTTTTTCACTGTTGAAAACTGAGTGCACAAGTTTGCCTTCTCATGGAACTGTACCTGCTTGACCTGCTTTCAAACCTTGCTTCTTTTGAAGTTCTCATGGTCAACCATCGGCAGCTATGCTTGCCTGACTGAACAGAATAAAGCAGGCACACAGTTAATCCAAACAAGAAAACCTCTGAGTCAAAAAGTGGGGTTCTAGCTTCTGGGTAACTTCTATTTTAAAAAATGGAAATGCAGCTGGAGAGAAGACTCAGCAAAAAAAGGAGGTACACAGGTATACATCCGTGCAGGCAAAAACAGCCATACACCCATGAAAAGTCTCTCTGTTAGCTAAGGAAAACTTTGAACCCTTGATCTTTCCGATTTCTGGGGTTATCGGTATGAGCCAACATGGCCAGATTTGTTTCGCTTTGCTTTCTGAGACAGATTCTTGCTCTGTAGTCCAGGATGCCTTCAAATCTTCAGTCCTCCTGCCTCAGCTTCCCCCATCATAAGACGCCACTCCTTTGCCTGCAGTTTGAAGGGGAAAACTCAGCTTGTCATATCATGAGTATTGAGTTGATGGCAGTGAAAGAAGCAAAGCAGACTAACTGGGATCTATTAAAAAAAAAAAAACTCCAAGTGGATTTTGTTTTTAATATTAGCTTTCTTGTTATGATGAAAATTTCCCTCAAACTTTGTCTACAGAAGGCTCGGAACTCATCTCCATTTTTTCCTTAGTGTTTCTACTGGTTCTGTTACAACATGGCTGTTGGAAATCAGACAACAGCTTCATCAAAATCAGCAAAGTGGTCTTTTAAATTATGTATGTGTATGGGTCTGTGCGGGTGTGTGCAGTGCCCTCGGAGGCCAGAAGAAGGCGGCTCATCCCCTGGACCTGGTTACAGGCCATTGGGAGGCATTGGTCTGGGACCTAACCTCATCCAGAACAGTACTTGCTCTAGGATCAGTACGCAGAGCCATCCGCGCAGTCCCTTCAATTGTGTTGAAATGAGCCATTGTCACTACCATCCCCTGCTTTGTCCAGAGTGGATCAGCCCACCCCTTTCACCACGATGACTACTTGGGCCATATCCAGGGTCCACCTCGAGTCAGGCAGCTGTGAGAAACTGGGTGCATGTGAGCATCTCTCCACCTGGGGTGCCCCCCTTCTCTAAAGCTGTCGCTTTTCTCTCTGTGTGTCCCCAGGGATCCTCTGAAGCTGCAGCAGCTGCAGAATCAAGTGCGCTTGGAGCAAGAGGCAAGTGGCTGGCCCCCGGCGCCCCCGGGTCTCCCTTGCAACAGCAGCAGCAGCGGCAGCAGCGCGCCCCCCGCGCCCCCCCTCCCCCCGCCGCCCCCCCTCCCCCCGCCCCCCGCCCGCGCG